TAAAAAGATTCAGGTGCATTTTTTGGAAGTTGAGGAGGAGGAGGAATTAGTTGAGTCTGCAGATCATGTTATTAGCTCTTTTACTGATTCTGATCAGGAATCACCTCAGATATCAATGAATGCGTTGACTGGTGTTGCAAATTTCAGGACCATGAGAATCACAAGGTACCAGCAAAAGAAGCCTTTACACATTTTAATTGACAGTGGAAGGTTGAGGACATTTTCCAGGAGCCAACTCAATTGCCTCCATTCAGGAAAGGTCATGATCACACAATACCACTTATTCAGGGAGCTAATCCGGTTAATAAAAGACCTTATAGGTATGCAAAAAGCCAAAAGGATACCATTGATAAGCTAGTACAAGAATATTTGAAATTTGGCTTCATTCAAAACAGTAGCAGTCCATTTGCTAGTCCTGTGGTTTTTGTAGGAAAAAAGGATGGTTCATGGAGATTGTGTATAGACTACAGAGAATTGAACAAAAACACTGTGAAAAATAAGTTTCCAATTCCTTTGGTTGATGATTTGTTAGATGAGCTTCATGGATCATCAATCTTTTCCAAGATTGACCTTAGGTCCGGTTATAATCAAGTGAGGATGGATCCACTTGATGTGCACAAGACAGCTTTTAGAACTCATGGAGGTCACTATGAGTATGTAGTAATGCTATTTGGCCTCACTAATGCCCCAACAACTTTTAAAGGGTTAATGAATGCGGTATTTCAAAAGTTCTTAAGGAAATTCTTATTAGTCTTCTTTTTGATGATATTTTGGTGTATAGCAAGAGCTTGGAAGAGCACTTAGAACATCTTGAGCAAGTGTTAATTACTCTTAGAAGCCATTACTTGTTTACTAGGAAAAGTAAATGTTACTTTGTTGTCCATAAAGTGGAATACCTTGGTCATTTCATCTTTGGTTCATGTGTATCTACAGATCCAAATAAAATAGAAGCTATGCTCAACTGGCCTCTTCCGCAGGCTATTAAGCAACTAAGAGGGTTTTTTGGTCTTGCGGGCTACTATAGGAGGTTTGTGAAGGGATATGGAGTAGTTGCAAAACCCTTGATTGACATGTTAAAAAAAATGGATTAGTTGGACTCAAGATGCTAAACTAGAATTTCAGAAATTGAAAGAATTGTTGTGTTGTACTCCAGTCTTAGCTCTTCCCGATTTTTCTACAGTATTTGTGGTGGAAGTTGATGCCTTGGGCTATGGGATAGGAGCAGTTCTTATGAAAAAGCAGAACCCTATAGCTTATATCAGCAGAGCCCTTAATTTGCAGCAGCAATCACTGTCTACTTATGAGAAGGAATTGCTAGCTGTTATTTTTGCTGTTCAGAGATGGAGACATTACCTTTTGAATAGGCATTTTATTGTCAGAACTGACCATTACAGCCTTAAGTACATATTGGATCAGAGGATGTCAACTGAGTTCCAGCAGAAGTGGCTAGTTAAACTCATGGAGTTTGATTTCTCAATTAAGTATAAAAAAGGACAAGAAAATATAGTTGCTGATGCCCTTTCAAGAAGAGACGTGGCTGAGTGCAACAGTTTACTTATCAGTTACAATCCGATTTGGTAGATAAAATTCATTTGTCATGGGTGAACGATACTAACTTACAGAGATTGATCAAGGAAGTACAAGACGAATCAGCTTCTCACAAGCATTATAAATGGGAGCATGACGAATTGAGGAGAAAGGGCAAGTTGGTAATTGGTAACGATCCAGCATTGAGGGGTGATATATTACAGTGGCTACATGCTTCTACTGGAGGAGGACATTCAGGGATTAATACTATCATAAAGAGGGTTAAAGTTGTTGTGTATTGGAAGGGTTTGATCAATGATGTCAAGAAGTTCATCCAGCAATGTTCAATTTGTTAGCAATGTAAATATGACACTGCAACATCTCTTGGATTACTTCAACCTCTTCCTGTTCCTGAACAAATTTGGCAGCATGTCACTATGGATTTCATTGAAGGTTTGCCTAAATCATTTGGTAAGCAAGTGATATTTGTGGTAGTAGATAGGCTGAGCAAAGCTGCACATTTTATGGCTTTGTCTCATCCTTATACAGCCAGTGATGTGGCTCAATCTTACTTAGATAATGTGTTTAAATTACATGGTTTTCCTAGTACCATCACTTGTGATAGAGATTCTATTTTTGTTAGCTAGTTCTGGCAGGATTTTATGTCCTTACAAGGGGTTCAAGTTCAGCTTTCATCCAGTTACCATCCTCAGACTGATGGTCAAAGTGAGGTGGTAGATAAATGCTTGGAAACCTATCTGAGGTGTATGTGTGCTGATGTCCCTCACAATTGGTCAAAGTGGCTATCCTTAGCTGAATGGTGGTACAATACCTCCTACCACACTGCTATTAAAGCTACTCCTTATGAAATAATATATGGACAACCAGCTCCAATCAATCTTCCTTACCTTCCAGGAGAATCGAAAGTGGAATTAGTGGACAGGAGCTTGAGCAAAGGAGAAGAGATGATGAAGCTGATCAAATTCCATTTAAAAAGATCCAAAGAAAGGATGAAACAGGTTGCTGATAAGCATAGGAGTGATAGACAATTCAAGATAGGAGATTTTGTCTATGTGAAATTGCACCCATATAGACAAGTGTCCGTGGCATTTAGGGGCAATTCTAAGCTAAGTCCTAAGTATTTTGGCCCGTTTAGAGTAACGGACTGCATTGGCACTGTAGCTTACAGGCTTGACCTCCCAGATCATAGTAAGGTTCACAATGTGTTCCATGTATCTCAACTTAAGAAACATGTGGGCAATTTGGTCACTACTACTGATCTTCCCTACTAATAGGAAGAAGCTTTTGCTGAAAATGAGCCTGAAGCTATTCTGGATTGCATGACAATAAGAAGAAGAGGGATGCCGGTTACTAAAGTGCTTGGAAAATGGAAACACCATCTCCCAGAGGACGCAATGTGGGAATACTATTATGACCTGAAGAGGAAGTTTCTAGCTTTCCATCCTTGAGGACAAGGATGCTTTTAAGGGAAGGGCAATGTTAGGAAATATTTGAAGTCTTTAGTCGGTAAGCATGTTTTAATAAGGTGCCACGAAGCCTTAAGTCGGTGAGGCTGTGTTAGTAGGTTTCCACGTGTTTCTAGCTGGGTTGATCAAATCTGTTAGGTGTTAATTGTGACAGTTTTGCTATAAATAACAACTCTGATGTTAGATTGGGGTATCTTGTAATTCATTCATAAAATTCTTGTAATTCTTCATCTTAATAAATCCATTTCGGGACCTTTCATTATATGGTTCCCAATTCTTCATCAAGTTCTTTGAGTCTCTGCATTCCTGGAACCAGAAAAATATTACAACAGAGTCACCTTGTTGGTCGTGCGTCCTAAGCCACATTCCATGATCCCTCTTCCTTCAACTCATGTATTGTAACCACTATGCATCGATAATGTACCATGGTGTGGTTTGATAATGTGCCATATTGAGGCAACATCACCACCAAAGTTGAAGAGTTTATAGGCATTGGAATGGCAACGATGGAAGAAGCCGTCGAAACATGGGAAGACAGAAAGATAGAATAAGGTGTGAACCAGACAAATCAAGGTGGTGTTTCGTCTTCTCTAGTGAGTTTCCATTTTTTCAAACGATGTTTCACCTTCTCTAACAACCCTCCACCATGCATATGCCACGATCACTATGTTGCTACCACTCTCCGACGATATTCTCTCATCCAACTTGTTTACATATTTACCTAGTAACCAGTTTATAATCTAACCTAAACTCTTTCCATCACAAAAAAGAAAAAAAAAATGCAATTGTATTGATTCTTTCATTTTGATTTGTCTTTGGTCTTATGGTACCTTGGATTTGCAAGGTGGTGGAGGATTTTCACTAGGAAGATTAAGAAGAAAAAAAAAGAAAGGAAAACACATGGAGGAGTTGAGCAGCATCAAAGAAGAAAAAAGGAAGATAGAGTAGGAAAATTATGGAACTATTCTTCTGTGGTACTGTTTTTTCTGTAGCATTATTAACCATTTGATTAAAAAACTTTTCAATCAAACGATCTACAATGCATGTTAACATTATGTAACTTCTTGAAAAGTAAAAACTTCCTTATCAAAGTTTATGGAAGGATGAAAGAATCTAGTGAACAAAAGTTACTGTTTTCTTGAAAAAGTTTTTTCCAATATATTTTGGCTATAAGTTTTTTCAAACATAAAATAAACTAGTTTAAACGGTATTCTATACGAGTAGCAAGATTTGTATGATGAGGATTGACCCTCAATTTTTTCTACAAGAGATTTACTTATTGTTTTTATAAGATGAAACATTAGTTATGTCAGTGTCAATGAACTCCAAGTATTATTGTCTAATGATATTTCACATGATAGGAGTCAAATTTGAAATGCTTTCACAATTCCAATGAGTTCTTGACTTGCACATAGCAACAGTCCTTAAACTAGTTACATCCACCATAGCAAGTTACAACCTTTGGTCTTCCCAAAGGTGGATTGCAGGGCTACAGTTCTTGTCATCCCCTTCAGATATTGTGTTTTGCTATCAACGGAATTGTAGTTTTAAATTTTGAGTGTGTAACAAATCAATTGTGACCTAGTGAATCTTTTGCTTTGATTTAGGTTAAAAAAAAAAATCCTCTTTTGTGTGAATTTTTTCCCAATAAAATTTCGATCATAAGCTTTTTCAAATGCAAAATAAACTACTTTACCCAATTTTAGTGGGACTAGCAGAGAAAATGAGGAAGAGAAAAGTTGAAGACTTTTGTAAGCCTCCTTTGTGAAGGAGAGGATCGCCAAAGTCTAGAAGGTCAAAGTCAATTGTTTTGTTCGTTTTTATTGTTTTTGTTTTATTCTTACGGTATTTTTATTTCTTCAAAACGCAAACATTTGCGTGAAAAAATGTGCAACTTTGTGAGAAACATTCATATATGACATGCTAAAAATTCAAGAGCACATTTTGGAGCAAAACAATTATTGGATGATATCGTTTATACATTTTCAGGTGATTATTGAATTTGAATGTTCTCTAAAGAAGGTAGCAGAAAGGGGCATCATGCCCAAAGCAGTGTGATGACCAAAAATACCATGAGGGCCAATCCAAAACAGAATCCAACTATTGCCATGAAAGCCTGGAAATTGTCAAATTAGACAACTGAGAACAACCAATGAAAAGGATAATAATAATAATAAATAGTGTTCAATTCAAAGTTACCTTCCCCTGTGATTCAAACTTAAACTTATCAGTAAACCAGGACAATCCTCTGTCAACAAAAGGTGCCAGTGCCAATGCCCTGCATAAGAAGTAACTACATTGTTTGAAATGATTGTCATTATATTATAAATTACAGAAGAGCTTTGTCTACTTGTACATGGGCAGATAGATGTAAACAACAAACATAACAATGACATGGTGCAATCTAGATACAAAAATAACTTCTCTTCTTCATCCACATCCATAAACATTTTCAACAGCATCTCCCTAAGATGCATGGAAATTTAAAAGTTGTCGTGATATTATTCAAAGTTAACAAGTCAAATGCCAACTGCCATCCTTACAGCTAAAACATCATCACAAAGTTACCATCAAGTGATAGAATGATATGGGGACAATGTTTCTAACTAAATTAACGAAAAAAAATCTACAATATGCACTTACAAATTTATAGGCTATATGCATTACACAGTTAAAAATGTGAAATGGTTCAGGTGGCTCACCCTCCTGCTCTTAAAAGTTTAGTGACTTGACTACCTGCCCACACCATGGCCATCACTTTGAAAAATCTATACATCACTGTGAAGTTGTTAATCGTTAAATCCACAAACTATAGGAGAAATATCAGTCACGTCCATACCTTTCTACAGCTGCAAGATAACCCATCTTTCCGGGTGCTGGAGCAATGTAAAACCTAAAAAAAATAAGCATATTATAGTTGTAGTGTGTAAGGATCCAATTGCAAAGTATGAGACTTGACACATTTGAAGTATGGAATTCTGTGAGGTTTATAAGGCCTTGGGTTCTCCAATTGTGGTCTCCCAAGGTTTGTATCAATTGGTATTAAAATCTTTCAGCTGCAAACAAGCAGTGCAGGTGATGATGTCAGCATTGTAGTGCTCACTTGGGACTAGTCAAAAAGGCTGGTGAAAAGTCAGCCCGTGTGAGTGCTAGGGCAGTGGAGCATGGTGGGATGTTAGGATCTAATTGCAAAGTATGGAACTTGAATCTTATATTGGATGTATGAGATACTAACGTGGGGTTATAAGGCCTTAGGCTATCCAACTAAGCTAGCTTTTTGGTGTGGGTCTCCCAATGTTTTCTTATCACAGTGACTTAGGAATAATTTAGAAAGATCGAATAATTATGAACGACGGATCCTATCAAATAGTACATGCAGGGTAGACAAAAAGCTTCAAGCAACAACCTTTACCCAGAAAAACATAGGAAGAAACGAGAAACTCTCTCAATACCAATATAATTTCTTATACAAACTGGCAGCCCAGGAAAAGGAAAAGCACAAGCAAAAGCAAAACTTAAGCTAAGAGGTACAAATGTCCACATACCACACAAAAAGAAATGTTGTGAGATAGTATGCAGTATTCAGAAGTCCATATGATAGGATTCCAGAAACTCCGTATCTCCTCAGTTTCTTCAGTATCCTGTCATTAAGCAAATAAGAGCAGGCTATAATTTGAACACAAAAACATCATCCACAACTATTCTGATCTCTAGCAATCGATGAAAAAATATCACAGGAAAAGTCAAACATACTCATTGCTCGTCAATGACTTTCCTTTCTTATTCTCTCCACTTTTTGCTGAACCTAAAAATATCCTGCTGCTGTTAATTATGATACTTGAAACCTCGTTGTAAGAGCTAGACAACACTGAGGATCAATTTAGACATTCATAAATCAGCAGAATGATCTATCAGACTATTTTCCCTTGTCTGTATAATTTAAATATTCTCTTCCTATGCATATTCAGCCAGATTGCCAAAATGGAAATATGGTCTGCATGAGATGAAAGTTTCCTCAAATAAATCTAAGAATATTCAAAACTTTCATCAAGAGAACAAATTAATGTTGGACCTTTCTTACTAAAACATTCAACAAGAATTTGACCTTTCTTTACAGGAAAATAGCAACCAGAGGGAATTTGTCATTGAGAAAAAGCACAAAGGAAACAGGAATTTAACATTTTGCACAAAAGAACAGTGAGAAATCAATAGATGGATTACAATACTTTTATTTCACAGCGAGGTTCAAAGACAACAGTATAAGTATAACCACTGCTAAAAGCCTGTTGCAACTTCTACATATTGAATGATCAGACTAAAATATGGACCACCAATAATTTGAGCACCCATTAATGTCCCCGGTTTAAACTAGTAATTAGAAACTTGCAACAATTTAAATATCGTATCCTAGTTACTGCATAATTGTAGAAAATAGAACAATCATATACCTTCATTACTGTATGCATCTGATAGCTCATGTGTCTGACCTTAAAATATTGAGAAATAAGACAACAATTTAATGAGTAAAAAGTGTAAAGAAAGAGGGGGATGGGGAAATCCAAGTAATATCACAGATATTTTGTTTGAGAATAAAATATCAAGCTAGTGTTTGCTAGAATTACTTTCGGTCAAAATCAATATAACATGAGAGTTACCATTCCCCAAAAGTTATTTTTTTCAGGTAAAACACTGCTTTGACTCCTTAGCCAAACATGCTACTAGAACTCCTAGTCTATCTTTAAGGGTATTCCCATGGTGGCTATCATTGTACATATAACTAACAATATAATACAGTTTCAGTGTTTTAAGAACATGTTTGATAAAAATGATCATACCAATTTAAAAAAAAAATTAAGAGTATATGTTAAAACAAAATTGAATTGAAATCATACCAATAGTGGGAAGAATAAGCTATTTGTGACATCATAATATCTCTGTGTAATACATTTTTGTAGTTTGATTGTAGGAAGGTCTCCCAACCTAATACCTCTAGCCCATACCAACAAGTCTGTTAATGTCTTCATAGCTAAGTAAGATTTAATTTAGCAAACAGTTTCCAAGGTTTAAGTCCATACAACTTGATCTTGAATGGGTTAAACTTTTCTAATATGTGAAAGCTGTAAACTACTAGGAACATCAAGCAAACTGGTCACTGCAGTATACAACTCGCGTAGTTTGGTAATGGTTCATTTGAACTTAGAAGACAACATTGTATTTCCAGGTTAGGATCTTCTGAAATGGGGCATTTTGACCTTTGTACTTTTATATTGTTACCTTTATTAATTTTTTTTTTTCTGGAACCAGAATGTTGAAAATTATGAGAAAAATCACCAAAACAAAAAAAAAGGATTTTCTTAGCTCCAAAAAGATTAAAATAATATATTCTTTATGTGTATTTTCTTTTGGTTATTAGTGTTGACAATTATTTTCATATTTGTATTATCTAAACCATATAATATCAATTAAAACATAACAACAATTGTTTGGGGTGTACACTAGAAATTGAACGACCTAATAAGCACAAATCGTTGTAAAAGGCGTTTGGGATGCAATGTATACCAGTCATAATTGGACACAAAATACAATAAGTGTGTGTTTGGTTTCCTGTTTAAATAGTTATGGATCCACATTTACTTCAACACTACAGTCGTAACTTCTGCATTGGATCTACATTTACTTCTAAACACACACTTAAACCGTATCTAATCAATGTTTTAAATAGTGATCATGGTTGCATTGTGATTACCAAAATTGCAGGCAAATGTAGCTGCTGTGGGCCAAAATTGCAGTCCAAAACCATGATATTGTGCTACAATTGTAAGTTTGCGACCACAATTTTGAAACCTTGTAAACGGTCATGGTGCAAACAGATGATACATATTCCAAAGCCTAGTTCCTTTGATACATATTTTACTACAAGGCATTTCAAGGTTAGCTTACACCTCACAACATATGGGTGGCAATAAAGATGATACAAGGAAAACATATTAATTAAACAAAACAACAAACAAATATAGTTCAAGACAAAAGAAAAATAAAAACCCATAAATTATTCCTTACATTGTCGTTGGTGTAACTTGAGCAAAGCCTTGCTTGGAAGGTGAGGCACAAATGGGTATTGTTCTTCAGCTGAGGGAAAGGGTTACCGACCCTTCTCTGGGAGAAGCCATCAAACACAAACTTGAGACATACCCAGATAGCAGAAAACGGAAAAAAAAAAAAAAAAAAAAAAAAAACTTTGGAATGGAATTGAAAAGAGTGCGGAATGTGTGTGAGAATTGTACCTGGTTAGTGTGGGGATGGGAAAGGAGTTTGGGATTGAAGAAGGTTGAAAGTTTAACACAAAGTGACATTGATTCATACAGTTCTGATGATGGATGTCAGATAATGAAACCAACAGTGAGGAAGCAATTGGATTTACTTCAGTGAAGGAAAACACGGTAAAGGTACTAACATTTCTTTTATATTTTTTTTGCCCTCACCTAAACTTCTTTTTATAAAAAGAAAAAGGCAAATTGGTCAAGGAATAATTTTAGCATACATCTGTGACAGAAATGCTACAAATACACTTTTTACGATATATTTTTAAAAATGTTTTTGTGATTTATTTATTTATTAAATAGTCAAAATATTTATCTCAATTTTTTTAAATTAGAAAATTATAAAAATGTGTTAAAGTTGTACTTAATATCGTGTGTTGGCTAATATTTCTTTTAAAAGAATTAAGACCACTTGTTGAAAATACACCTCCTCAAAATTAAAATTAAGTAAATAAAAAAGGTGCATATATTGCATATATTACATTATCATTTCTTCTATTTTAAAAATATAGATCTCTTTCCCTTAAAAAATTAAAATGCATCACAATTTAAATTATTTTATGTTTTTCATTAAAGCATTGTAAAATAATTTATATGTCCTAGTTTTATTTTTTTTATTTTTTACTCATGGTCTAATTTTTATTTCTATGCCTTAGTTTTTTTAAATCTTTTTACACTCTATCTTCTTTTCTTATTATGTGTTAAAGTTGCAAATGTTTACTTGTACGTTTTTATTAAAGGTGAGAATATTTTTATTTTTGTTTTATTATTTGATGTGAGACAAACTTTTAAAAATCTCATAATAATCACAAGTTTTTATGATTCTATGGAAAAAAAAAACATTCAGCTCATTGAACTTTTTGAATAATTGACTAAGTATATTATTTTTTAAAAAAGGTATTTTAGTAAAAAAAAAAATATCAAACATGTATTTAACAATATTTTACCAAAATACTTGAAATAGATTAAGTTGTAATGTAATTTAATATTTCAAGGGAGAGAATTATATTATTTTAAAATAAAATGAAAAATATTGTAATATATTCATCTTTTAGAGATTATTTGTTAGTGTATGAATATAGTTTATGAGTAACTTAGCTCAATTATATTCTTACCCTAAAGTGATAATTTTTTCTTTTGAAATATAATTATTTTTTAATTAAATTAACTCCTAATTTGATTGTAATTATATTTCATTAAACCCATTAAGTTTTATGGCGATTTGTAATTCTTTAAAAACCTACCTTATTAAATTAGCAATCACACAACTAAGTTTAGGTAAACTAATTTAAATTTTGATCTTATTAACTTAAATTACAAATTTGCAATCAAGCCTCTAATTAGTTTAAATTGATTCCAAATCAATCAATTCAAATTCAATTATGATTATTTTGATTATTAAGAATTTCTTCCAATTAGATCCAAATCTATTAACCTTAATCCAGCATTTGATAATAAGAATCAAAAATCAAAATTAAAGAAAAGAGGAGGATTTGAATTTGAATTTGAATTAATATTCAACAACAAGATCTTAGAATCCAAAATAATGTGTGATGAATCTTAGGCTGAATAAGCTAAAAATATCCTATGTAACATTCTTATTTTATTTAATATGATAAGAAAATAATTTCAGAATTTAGAAGAGAATATTTAGATTAAACTCATTGCAAGTTAAATACAACGTGTGAAAATTTTAAAATATTTAGTGATACTTTAACCAATTCATAAAAATTTAAATGACAAAAATGGGAATAGACAAGTTAAAAGGAAACTTGAAATAGCATTAATATGTATATATTGTTCTAAAAGGTTGGTATTAGAAAAATATATATCAAAATACATTAAGACTCATTTACAATAATTACAAGATACAAAATATAATAAGTCCTAACGAGCCGTCTATCCATCAAAAGACTAAAAAAGATACTAGTTGTCCCCATGTCATCTCTTTATTGCCGCTAGATCTTCGAAATCGATATCCTCATCTGATTTGAGATAAAGATCGCTTGAATCTACAGTGGCCTGCCTGCTAATAATGCGATCAAAAGTCCATCGAGTTGGTCTTCTGAGGTGATCGTAATCATGATATGTAAATAGGTAGGTCACAGCTATTGGAGTTCTATCTGTGCCTTGACAGATGTACATAGGGTGTGGATTCTATTGTTTACAGGGAAATCAAAAGATACACGATATGATAGTTCTATTTCTAGCATAATAATGTTACGTGTTATATTATCAACATGTAAGGCCAGTTTAAAATAACAAAATATATGGTATTCGCTAAATACATAATCTAACGTACACTATACAAAGCTATCTATAAGCCTAATGCTCTCCCTGGACGCTGTCATCCTGGTCCCCTAAAAGGTTTAAGTAAGGATGAGTCTTTATTCTTATTACCAAACACACATTCACATTTAAGTCATACAATATAGCAATGTAATGCAACAATCAATCATATCACAAACTCAAGTTCATATATATGAAACAATAATTAATTATTCAGTCTTATGACATTTAGAGTTGTCCTTTCACACTTTCACTGCCCTTGGGATCCCTTGAGGTCTTCCTTAGCATAGATAGTTGCTAAATAGCTGCAGCTACACTGATACAACGTATGTCGACCTGGCCCTTTTTAGCAAAAGCATGATCAGGAGTTTAAGTTAGGAAACAAGTATGAAGCCTGTAGTGCTCTTACTTTTATTTGTTATGCGCAATTCAAGAAAAGCATCAACCACCCTCATTTCCCTAAGATTTTTTAATCGCCTACATCTTCCACACCTCCAGTGTACCTATGATATATCCATACTTGTCCATATCATTTTTTCTTTCTCATTCCATTTCTGTTTCCATATTTCTCATTATGGACTTTATTCTTCTCATTAGTCATTATGGCTTAAAGTCATTATTTGCTATGACCTGAGCTCATTATTTGTATTCTATCATGTTATTCATCCCTCCATTTCTCTATTTCACTCAAGTTCATTACTACGTCATATATTAATCAATCATTGCCGAGAGTTGGTTACTCTCAGACTCAATCCACAACATACCTTCATATACACTGAAAACAAGGATTATATACATCGTCCAACACCACAAAACATGCTTCAAACACAACAAAAACATGTTCTCATCCAACATATACTCAAAATCATGCATTTCATCATAGCATTTTCATGAACACAAGCATACTACTTTCTTAGTAATAAGATATAGTTCTCCTTACCTTTAAATGGAAGTTTAGTGAAGGATTTTTGAGAAATCTTGCTCAAAAGGTTGGGTTCTTCCTAAATATCAGAAGAAATCCTATTTAGAGGAGGAAAAATAAGAATATAACCAAAGGATGGAGAACCAAGCTCCAAGAACTTACCAAGTTGCAGGGAGAGTGAACTTCGAAGCTTGGATTGAAGAAAGATTGGAGTTTTTCAAGGATTTTCTGAGAAAAATAAGGAGAGAAGTCAGAGAGAATGGAGAGGGTCGTAACTTGGATTATAATCCAAGTTTCTCAACTTGAAAACCCTTAAATACCCTTCAACTCGCAACATTCTTGCTATAACAAGACCTTCTCTCCCTACAGCAAAAAAATTAGAAAAAGTTTTACTTTCCTGTCTATTATTCTAGCTACAGCTAGAGCTCTTCACTACAGTGAGAGTACCTTCACTATAGTGAGCGAGCGTAAGAGAGCCTGACTCTAGACGCTCATTTCTCGCTATAGCTAGAAATCCTGCAACTCGCACACACCTAAAACTCTCCTAATTTCAAGCAACATGCATCAATAATTATTATACAAAATAAAATTAATAAATAACAAAATATGGGTGTTACAACCTAAAATTCCAAGCCTTAAACTATATATATTTCCTAGGGATCATTTAGTCCATTGATCATTGGCCATTACACGATATAGAATATGGCCAAATATACAATAATTCAAATGATCAATATTAGACTCAATTTCAAGCCTAATTGACAAATTTCTAACTTAGATATTATAACACTCTAATTTTTATTACTTTTGTTTTGAAAAATGAAAGAATTTTATTTTAAAAAATTGCAGTAATTTTTGCTTAAACAAGAAATGTGTTGCTCAAGTAAGATTGTTTAATCTGGAAGGACACCTTTAAAGCATTCTTGCTTAAACAAGGCAACCACACAGAACTGCAAACGCACGACTCTTTATTCAACAACTATACAACTCGCATTTTCCATTAGCCATCATGTGAAAATTCATATAATCCAAGCATATACAACACAATTTAAAAGGAATAATACATATATAAATATATAGGTCTAACACTTGGAATTGAGTAGAATAGGCGTTCAACCCGAGATCTGGAAGAAGTTAGGGATCCAGGAAAGTTTTCTTTAGGAAGGGGAGGTGAGAGAACAAAGAGAAATGAGAAGAGAGACTGTTTGGTTATAAATGAAATTCTCAAGCATGAAGTTCTTTAAATACTCCTCTAAATACGCGTATTCTAACTTGATCGAGGAAACTCTCACTTGAGTGAGGTTAACTCTCGTCTAGGCAAGACCCTCCTCTCTTGGGCAAGAAAACCAGACAATGGTTTTACCTAATTTTCTAATGTTTTTGTTTAAGCGAGAATGGTTCTAGAGAGATCTCTATTTTCCTATGATTTCTCGTCTAGGCGAGACACTTCTCGCTTAGGTGAGAGGATAATTGGGGTAATATTATCTTCTTTCACTTGAGCGAAAGTGCCCGAGAATGCTTGGCCTAAAAAAACTTTGTCTCGCTTAAGCGAGACATATCTTGCTTGAGCAAGAAATCTTGCACAAATTTCCTATTTTTCCAAACACAAGGCATTAAAGGCGAGGGTGGTACACAGGTGAGAGTGATCTCACTCAAGCAAAAATATTAGTAACTGAGTAGAAAATTTCTATATGATTTTCTTGCTTATGCGAGAAAGAATGTCATTCAAGCGAGAATGATGTCGCTCAAGCGAAAATCTTAAAAAATAAGAGTATTTAAGTAACTGTGTCATTTTTAAAACTTAGATCTCAAGACAAGTAACTATTCTCATCTCACTCTCAGTTCTCTCACTCCTTTCCACAGCTATAAAACACCCTTGCTCTCAAACCTCTCTTTAATCTGAGTTTAGATATCCTTTCCTCTTGATTTCCAGTAAATTTTCTTGGAACTTATACTTTCAATCTCATTTTTATTTCATTATTTTCTTTCTTCTCAAAAATTACTCTACTTTGTGATGCTTAGGAAGATTTTGGTCTTTCAAACGACATCTTCCACCAAAACCTTACGAGAATCATCTACTTGAGGTAAGGAGAATTATATCCAATCAATAAAGTTATACCTACATGATGAGTGTGAACATTTTTACATATATTTATATACTCTTTACTTTTATGAGTGGTTACATGCTTTTACCTTAGAAATCTAAGTTTTAAAATAGATTCTTTGAATTGATGAACTAGATGATGTATGTTTTATTGATAATTGAATGAATGACATATGATTGATTAAAAATACATGATTTGGATTGAGTGTAGAGGTGTCCAATCTTCAACATGTTTTGCTTAACTGAATGATAAGAAATAAATAGAGAAAAAATGTATTATTATCCAATATGATGATGAAAAGAATTAGTATAGATAACCATAGAGATATACTGGGAGTATAGAAGATGGAGTCAATTTTGGAAATCTGGGAAAAATACTAGGTGGCGACTACTATTTGCGATTATGCATAGATGATGAAAGTAGAAGCAGCACAAGCCTCACACTTATTTATCAATTGACGCTCTTGACTGTACTTCTACTAAGGGGCCCGGTATTATATATGCTGTATCCGTATGCATGGGCTAACTACCAACTATTCATCTATACGTATAAGATCTCATGGAATACAAGAGGTAACGATTGACTATAATCACAGTGCATGAGAAAATGCGTATATGAGAGAGTGCCATATTGCGTTATGTGATTAAAATACATGTATTATGGTATTACTGATATATTTATCATTGTGTTTGTTGCTGCGAAATTTTAAACTGATTATTTTGGTTATGTTTTAGTGGTGAGGAGAAAACTCATCTTTACTTACATTTTCAAGAAATAAACATGACTACCCCTTAGAGACCAGTTAAAGTGATCTAGACTAGGATCATATTTTCAAGATTTTGGTGTGAGAATAATCTCTTCATTAGGACTTGATGTATTTTGATTTTGTAATTATTTAATTTAAGTCCTAATTTAATTTGGTTTTGAGTTGTAAATACTAAAATCATGTAATTATGTAATATTAATTATGCTAATTAACTATTGCTGTTTAAATTTTATTATTTCAAGTATTATTAAATTTTGTATGGATCAAGTGGTAAGAAATGAAAGTTTTTAAATATTGCTAATTTTTCTCGTATCACAAGTGAGAAAGAGTTACTTAATAATTCAATTAAAAATTTAAATTCTTATATGATTTATAAAAAAATAATCTATCAAGTAAGAGCATCACATATACTATGGTAAATTTTTAGCTTATAACAAAATTGTTGTCACTCTCTAAATACATAATTAATTCTACTATCTATCAAACACTCTAACAGCTTAATGAGTCTCTATAAGTTTGTCATTCTTGTTCCTTAAAAATATTTATAAGGATAAGTTCTTTTCTCATCACTAAAAACATATACCATTTTTAAATATTACAGTACCAAATCAAATGATAATTATATCAGAAAATTATATGACACATATCTTTATACAAATAACATAGTCATAGTTAAAGAATAAGAAAAAAAAGTTAACTCTAAAGAGAAACTTTGAAATTAAATTTAGGAATTTAAAAAATTTTACTTAAAAAAGTAAAATAAAATATATGCATTATAATTTTTTTAGAAGAAGGTCATGAAAGTCAAAATCGGAAATAACACAATACCACAAATTCAAAATTTAAATATTTGGATGTGAAAAACTCGTACGATTCATATAATCAAGCTCATTTAGTAGGATAAAGTTTTTTTCTTGTTGTCTTTCTTCTTTAGAAATATAACGCTAATCTGATATGTTGAAAATTTACAACATAAGTGCTATTCACAAATCTGATCACTGCATCGTCTTTAGAGGGACACTGGCCAACATTGTGATTGTAGTTGCCTTTGTCATTACATACTATAAAATATGAATATGACGTATACATGTGTTATTAGACATGGACACATGGTTCGATAAATTTAAAAAATTATAGACAGGACAGGATAATTATAATTAACATACAAAATTGACATAAAACAAATTTTATATCAAGAGAAAGTTCAACATTTTAAAAATGAGTAAAAATGGTTGTAGCATAATAAACTGAAATAATTTATCCAAATTAATTGGTAAAAAAATTAAAATATGAAATAAAGTATTTAAAGTATTCTTGAAGTTCCCAACACAACACAACTACTATTTTGAATATTGTTGTTTTTAAGGAGAGAATCAAAATGGATATGTTTATATCGAAGCAGCAAATTAATTGAGAAAAACTTCAGCCAAACATTTTAGAGAGCCGGATTGGTATCTGTCTTATCCAAATCAAAAACAATTTTGGAAGGACTTGATGATGATCTAATCATACACATAATCAGCCAGCTATGTAATGATTTTATTTATTCAATTTTTAAGGAATTACATTCATTGCCTTGTCCGGCTCTTGTACATGCAAGGTCTCAATTAGTTACCATTCAAAGACACAACCAACATTATTAAAAAAATATCTTGCCAACAATGCTACATTTCTTAAAAAGCTTAGGTTATTTCGCCACTCCCTAAATCCAAAAATATGTGGACAAAATTCACTTCAATGAATGAAACTTAAAGGGAAAAGGAAATAATATATTATTCCCAAATGAGACTAATAAATTCACCTTGCTTCTCATTAATTGGAGAAAGGTTCAGGGCCAATTCGGGATATCCGAATATGCTATATTGCTACTAATCCTCTCTTAATTATGCTCTAATGGATTCATCACTACCCTTTTCCTGAGGAATATTATGTTAATACACCTTTCTTTATAAGTATCAGCGTGTGTCAAAGAAAGAATAAATTTGGAGGATTTGGTATTTGTTGTGTTTGATCTCAATGTTCCCCCATCATTTATGTTTTGAAAAAATTACAACATATAAATACGTTCCTTTATAGCTAGTCTTCAACTCTTTCTTATCATGGCTATCCTTTGTTCTTCTAATACATCAAATCCTAATTGTATATAATATCAAACCTTACACCTGCCAAAGTTCATTGACATTTCATTTTTGCTAGCAGTAGCTTCTGATTTTCATCACAGTTAGATTATATATCAGATTGAAAAAAATATGTAGGCAAATTTACATAAGTAAACCACAAATATTGTAACAAAATCAAATTCCAAAACAATGCTATGCATTTAGTATTATTGTTGAATCTGGTAGTGTACAGCTTCACATAAAATCCCTTTATACTTTTGTATGTCTTTTTTGTTGTGTCATTTGGGAGAGAAAATTTTGTTTGAAAATTGAGGAGCAATTTGAAGCACATACATGATGGCTACAGAACCTCAGAGGGTAGTGGTGATCCAAGATGCATCAAGAGATGTTAGTTTAAAGGCAATTCTTAGGGCCCTGAGAAAGTTATCAGTTAAGGCTGGAGATCAGCTTATAATTGTTGCTGTTCTTGATTGGATTAGCAGTCCTAGTACGTTTTCTTTTTTCAGAAGAAAGAGTTGTAAGGATTCTATTTACTTTTCCGTTATCTACATGTAGCTCATGTTTGGCTCAACTTACTTTGAAGAAATAATTTGTTTATTTGTTTTAGCTTTCTGAGAGAGCTTTTGAAAACTAAGCGATCATTTCTATAGAATTAATTTGAACCAAACACGCTATTAATCAAATAAAAAAGGGGAAAAATAGAAGGATATGAATTTTGATACATCAAGAAAAGTTGTAATTTGAATAAGCCGTTTTTCTTACTAGCTACTTGCATTTGATATGCTGAATTTTCCTCTTTGTTCTTTCTCTTTTGCTCTCTAGTGGGTTACATGGTGAAAGTTGATTCCAGTTCAATTATTTCAACAAACCAGAAAGTTATTGAGAAACATACCAGAAGAAAAGAAGACTATCTTTTGAACCGGAAAATTAAGGAGCTCATCCAGTATTGTAAAATGAATGAGGTTGGTGCAATCCGTACACTTGACATATCATTCTGAAAAATCACACAATAAAAGTATCTAACACTTAACGCAGCTAGAAAAGGGATTTGACAAACTGTAGAGCAGAAATAAAAACTAATAAGTTTACATTTTTGCATAAAATTTCTGATGTGATTAATATGATGAATTTGCACTAACATATACTGATAATGTTACATATAATCTGAACAGAGAGCATAGTGTCTTTGAATAAAATGGATTATTGAAATTGTTCTTTGGAAATGATATTTCTCAGATTGGACTCCAAATAGAAGTTCCTCTGGGCCTTCCTGTAGAAGTTGCTTCCAATGCTGCCCAGGATTTTCAGGCAACAAGTTTGATACTTGTTAGGTATGTTTCTAACTTCCAAATATTTTTCCCTTAATCTAGCAGATGCAAGTGAAACCAAACAACAATTTACTGTTTCTTAAGATGGAATTGCACATGATCAGATAACAAATGCAAAATACACAAAAAATAAAAATAAAAAAATCCCGTTTTAAGCAGTGAAAGATGATGTTTGACAACTACATACAGGATCTTGTCCCTTGTTGCTTTCGGGTGTATTTGGATACTGATAAGAATTCTCACAAAAGCGAGCTATTGGAGTCCAAGGCCTTATAAACCCCACGCTAGAATCACATACATCCATTGTGGGACTCAAGTCCCATACAATTGGATCCTATCAGATACACAGTTTAATTATGCGCTTATTCAATAAACTCTTTTCATATAATGGTTTACGTCATAAATTTAACCATAAAACTTATTAGAATAAGCTAATAAAAGCTTATGGGGGTCACAATCTATTTCCAAATCTGTTCATAAGCTCTTCTAAACAGACTCTTTATCTTTTCAGAACTTGGAGTTGTGCAGATTCTCTAGATCAAATCTAGGTGATAATGATATAATTAACAATCCCAATTATAACCAACATGCATCACTATGAGTACAAGGGGCTTGGATCCCTTAAGCATTTGGTCTTGGGTTCAATCTCGAGATTCATGTGTATGAAAAAAAGGTTGTTAGGAGGTATTCCTGGTTTAGAAATTGACTATGCTTCAAGAGATTAGTCTCTCACATCCTAGATGCAAGAATACTACAGGACAACCAAAAAAGACAATCACAATTATATAAACTTTCTTGATAGGGTATGTCTACCACTTCCATATAAGGGAAATCAAACTAAACCATGCACAACTTGTCATTTAAGGTCACTATAAAGGAGAATTAGTCTCTCTACAAAAAATAGAAACTATTTACATTTAATAACTTATGCTATCAAATTATCCACAGACTACTTATGTAATTAAGGTTATTTTTAATACACTTTTTCCTCGGATGCAGACAAATGCACAAAGATATGAAGGAGCTCATGGACATGCTCCCTTGTGGCATGTATAGGATAACAAGTGACAATTCAATCGAGAAGTTGAAAGATCCAAAATCAACAGCCATCAGCAAATCACTTGCAGATAGGCAAGAAAATGTAAGCTATAAAGAAATGTTTCCAGGAAGTGAAGAGGAAGCACGTTCTCTTCAGAGTAAGTATTTATTTTACCATAAAAATATTGCCAAAATAGGAAGCATATATATAAATTAAAATTTCTATAATGTCATAAATTGGTTATATGTTCTCCCATTTGTTGACTTACATACTATCAAGAAATATTATAGCAATATCTGCAATACCACACATATAACATCATAGACTTCTAGATTAACTGCAATAACATATTTCCATTTTGGTGTTAACTAAACAATAAACATCTTGATTCAAAATTTTTTGTTCGTTCATTCATGTAAAATTTTGAAAATCCATGCCATGAACACAAGAAATCTTGATGTTCTATCATATCCTATTTGTCACACAGACTGCAAATATATATCTAGGAATAGTTATCACCTTATGATGATTAAACAAAAGATTAGTTAATAACATCCAACAGTGATCAATATATATTAACTTTGAATAGCTAGTCTTTTACTCATTTTTTCCTATCCACTTCAAATGCACAAACTGAAGAATCAATTACACAATAATCTAGCAAATAAAAGCCATGGTGAAAGTTTATCAAAGTTTGGTTACAATTCTCAAGGTCATGATCTAACGAAAATCTTTGTCTACATTCACTGCTAAATGAAATGGCTAAAGTATCGCAGTGAAATCTCCATTAATTCAATGATATTTAGCATTACTTAAACACCTATCATTATGTACAATTTGATGATTAAGTAGTACAATTGAGGATGACAAATGGTGCATTTAGCAGTGTCTAGGTCTTCATCAAGTGATCTGTTGGCATCAGCTGTTTCAAGTCAATGGAGTACTGAAGCCTCAACTTCCAGTCTCGGAAGCTTGCGGTATGGTCGCCAAAAACACCAAGACGGGAAGTTTTATTCAAATATAGAACAAGTAACATTAGGGAACCAATCACTATTTCACATTTCGGAGAATCAAGAAACACACCAAATAGAAGTAAACCAAAAGGAACAGAACAATGAAACATCGCATATGGAGGAAGAATTTACAAATTCAATTTGTTCTGTGTGCAATAATAGACGACTGAAAATTGGATGGAAGAGAGATTTCAGTTATGTAGAGCTCTACAATGCTACACAGGGATTTTCTCCTAAGAATTTTCTATCGGAAGGTGGATTTGGATCTGTCTTCAAGGGACAGCTTAATGGAATCAAGATTGCTGTCAAGCAGCATAAAAATGCAAGCTTCCAAGGAGAGAAAGAATTTAAGTCTGAAGTAAATGTTCTTAGCAAAGCAATACATGATAATGTGGTCATGTTGCTTGGTTCATGCTCAGAAGGATATAATAGGCTTCTTGTTTATGAATATGTCTGCAATGGCTCACTTGACCAACATCTGTCAGGTAACAAAACGTGCCTTAATGTAGTAATCTGTTGCTATTTATGTTTTCTTGTTACATCTCATAAGAGACTAACTTCTGTTAAATTGATGTAGAACACTCTCGCTCCCCTCTTAATTGGAAGGATAGGATCAACGTAGCTATTGGAGCTGCCAAAGGCTTACTCTACTTACACACGAACAACATAATACATAGAGATGTGAGGCCAAACAATATCCTTATAACACATGATCATCAACCATTGGTAAACCATCCAATCTTGAATATACATATATTTGGATGCATATGATGCTTAATTAAAACATGACACACATTCAGTGTGTTTGGTTTAGCTTATTTTGAAAAATAATCGCAAAAGAGTGTTTGAAAAATAAGCAGTTATTCTCTAAATTTAAGCGCTTATTTATGCTCTCAATTGTAAGGCGTTGAATAATGGTTGAACATTTTAGAATTAATACATTTTAACATTACTGTATTTACTAGTGCAAATGAGATGGCAAAATGACATAATTTGAGAGTACTCTATAAGTCATTGTTAATTCTATAAAGGAGATGAACTTCATCAAAACTAACATTATTCTTTCATGATGAATTTATAAGCTGGGAGACTTTGGGTTGGCAAGAAATCAAAATCAAGACTCAATACACTCGACAGAAGTTGTTGGAACTTTCGGGTATTTGGCACCTGAATATGCAGAACACGGCAAAGTGTCAACCAAAACAGATGTATATTCTTTTGGGGTGGTTCTACTACAGCTAATAACTGGAATGAGAACTACAGATAAAAGACTTGGAGGAAGAAGTCTTGTGGGATGGGTAACAATCTAAATACCTTGAAATTTCAATTAGTATCTTAATATATTAGTACAACCTCAGCACATCAAGGCATCAATATGCTTCAAATCAATTTTTATTCCTTAGTTTTCTCAGTGTGAAGGACCAGGGTTATTTTCAGTTGATCTTTTAAGTACATGAGTAGAATCAATTACAGCTATGATCTTTTCTTGGTTTGGCAAAACTATGATTCATTTTGATTGGGAACAAAATGAATGCGACTACTTACTGGTAACATAAGTTTTAATTGCAACATTCTGATAAATAAACCTATTTACATACCCTTACTAGTTTGTCTATTGAAATTTTATGCAGGCAAGGCCACTTTTAAAAGATAGGAACTATCCAGATCTAATTGATGAAAGGATCCTTTATTCTCATGATGTCCATCAACTATTTTGGATGGTGAGAATAGCAGAGAAATGTCTAAGCAGGGACCCTCAGAAGAGACTAAATATGAATCAGGTATGCATAAATTATTGGATCCCATCTTTTGGACTATAGTTTCATTATACTTCTTATTTATTCGAGAGGAATTTGAGATAATGAAGAGAAGTTGACAATTAGCAATGTAATTATGTTTTGGTATAGAAAACAAAGATGGTTATTAGTTTCTTATAAAGATATCCAATGTTTTTTCAACTGCGGATCCAAGATCAAATCAAAAGAAAGAGAACAAAATAAATTCGGACCCCATTTCACCTAATGAAAGTGTTGAAAAAGAGTTACCAAAGAGCATATTACTAACATATCTTAATAGAGAATCTTCCAGCAAACATTCTTTTGACCATCCTTCAACCCAGTTTCTAATATTGAGCTTGGACCTGAACTTTAGAAATTTTCTTTTTTACTTTTTCCTGTTTAAGTTTTGAACAAGCACGCACATGTCCAACAAAATAATAAAGAACGCGTTGGAGAGAATTTTTATGAGGATGGGTTAATATATAGCATCTATCTTGTCACTTGATTATACAAAATTAGGCATTTAGAGTTTGCTTTTACTTATTTACATTTATGGTCGACTTAATAAAAAGTGTGTTTAAATACATTTATATTCAATAATTTATCTCAATTTTAGTTTTGATTACTATATTTTAAAAGCTTACTTTATTTATAGTTCTTATTGTTTTATTTTATCAGAATTTAACCTCTATAATGCCATTTTGTTTATGTTTCAGCCCCTAATTAATTCTATTTAGATTTTGGTCCCAATAGACAGCACATATTAGTCTCAATGGCTATCTTTTGAAAATACATTCGATTGACATATTAAAAAATAAAACTATGGTGACCAAAACTTATAAAGTAAAGTGATCAAAACTAAAATTAAAGTAAATTATAGAGAGTAAGAGTGCATTTAACAATAAAATGTATGGCCAAATTCTAAGGTTCTACTTATAAATTTTATTTAATTTCATGTGTTATATGTCACTACAGGTTGTTGATGCTTTGACTGACATTGAGCAAGGCAGAACATGTGACACCATAATAAGGGATTACTCTCCTGCAAGGTCAGATTCATTCTATGGTGCATCAGACTGTGATGAATATGAAGATGAAATGCAAGGATCCTTCGAGATCGAAGGCGAGTTACAAACTCACAGTTCAGAATCCACAGCAAGTAATTGCTTAAGTCAAATGATGCAAATGATTGTAAGACAGCCACCATCTCCTCCAGTTAAGAGCATCTCTTCAAGTTGCTCAAGCTTATTTAAGTTTATTGAAGAATCAACCTGTCATGTAGAAGCACAGAATGAAGAGAATTCAGAAATAACAAAATCCAATGAGGTGTTACACAATTGTTAGATGGTAGAGTAGCATATAACTAAAGTAAGGGATAATATTTCAGTTTAGTTCCTTTAAATAAATAAAGTTTCCACTTGTCAAAGTGGATATTATGTGATAGAATATGGTTCCTCAGTTAGCTTCTGTAATAAAATATAACTATGAATGGATTTTGTTTAATCCTCTTACAACATAAAATATTTTACACTATCAATGAACTTATTTGTGTCTCTTGGAAACAATCATCAGATCTTCAACTTTTGTAACAATTAAAGCCGTTTAAATTTCCAATGTGTGAGTGTGTGTGCAACTTAGAAATGTAACCGTTGAATCAATAATACAGGTGTCACTTTCTACTTTCTAGAACGTGACTACGTATACAAAAGAATGTTTACAGAAAATTCGGGATAAAAATATTTTGGCTTATTATTTTTTTCTCAAAAATTCATAATTTTTAAATGTAGTTCTTTTTTTTTATTCATTTTTCAATCGAGTTCTTTGTTTTAAACTTTTCTTGATTAAGCTGTTTCCTTGTGATTTTTGTTTTTAATTTAGTCCTTGTAAATACTATAAAATTTTCCTTTAGTTCCTTCTAAATATCAGGAATCTCCCATTCAGTCTTCATATATATATATATATATAATGAATTTCTCTCCTAAAAACTTGTAACATTTTGAAGGATCAAATAGGAAAAGTGAATGGAAAGAATTATTTTATACAACAATTAACATGTAAGGTTAATTACATAGATCACAAAACTTTATTAAACTTGATAAAAATCAAATTCTTATGAATATTATTTATCATTCGACCTATTTTAATATGAAAATTTTATTTTATAAGTAAAAATACATAAGAAAATTGTTTAAGAAAATATAAATTTTTGAGAGATAAAAAATTAATAAAGCATTAATTGTTTTGCTACAAGAATTTGTAGAAGTGAGGACATGATGTACGATGGACGAGGCCTTGCATTTTCTTTTAATTACATTGTGAAGAATTTAAAAAGTTTTCTTTTAGACACAGCTTTAGTATTAACGAGCTAGTGGCAGAATTTAGTTGAAATAGTGAAAAAAGGCTATCATACCACTGATGATATTTGTCATTGCACATGTGTGATCAAATATGATAAGAATAATACTTTAATGTAAATCTAACAAATTTCATTTAGTTACTGTAAATTTTTTTCTGTTTTAATTTTTAACTTTTATTTTTGGTCTCTACGTCAGATATCTTTTCAGAAAAGGCATATACAATTGGTTAATTTGGGGGAAGATATGGAAATAATATTTTATGTGATTTAATGTTGAAAATCATATTTTGTGATGCTTGTGCGGGACTTTTTCTCCTTTTAACATATATAATGTGTTCCACACGTGATAGAACTTAATTACATATCTAGTAGCTAAGTCAAGAACTAACTAAGGAGTAAGGACAAATTAATAACAAGGATAAAAACAAAAGTTTAAAAAATAGGAATAAAAATAAAAATATATAAAACTAAAATAAATCTCGTTATATATACCGACACTAATATAGTCAATAAATTTATACCGAGTTTACATATGTAAAAAAAATACGTTAAAATAATGTTTATTAAATTGATGACAAAATTTTAAGTATAATTACGCTTTTTTATCAAGATAAAAACAAAATATGAATTGTCAACTTTTTCAACGAGATTAGTTAAAAATGAAATATATCTATATTGATACATAGTTTATTAAACACTTGATTGTAAGTTACATTTTTTATGTCAAAAATAAAAATTCTTAATTCTTTTGATGATTTACTTTTCACAATGTAAAATATCATTAACTGTGTATGAGGAAGTATAGGTGTTTGAACTCCTGGCCTGATACAGGATGGAGTGTGATCCTGGTATAGTAGTTTGCGATACTCTGGTGATTTCTAAGGAGTGGTGTTTTCGTAAGAAATCTCAAGTCAGTGGAGGATTTGGCCAAAATAAGGATAAAGGGTTGTGATTCGACGTACTTTGACCGAGGGACACATGGTTAATTCATCTCAGTTGAAGCGAAGATGGACTTCAATATACATAGGAGTCTAATTGTGGTGAGCACGCGACTATTGGTATGTTTGAGGGGATCAACCTTTCACAATGGACCTATGTGGAGTGATAGTAGTTTTGTTAGCTTGACCATGGTCATGTTTTTTATTTCGGATCAATCTCCCCTTGCTCAAGCTTGTCACGAAGTGGGAAGGCCAAGTTGAGAGGAGTATGGTGTAATATGGTACTGGTTTTCAAGTGTCAGCTAAAGAGATTGTAAAATTTGGATTACTTATTTGTTTTGGTCTAAGGTCGCTTGAGCACCTTCAAATACTTTTTACTATGCCAGATTTCACTTCATAATTTGTCAACTAAGAGAGTGGTAGAGTGGTTAATAGAACACTGCTTCTACAATACATTTAGAGAGCGGTTAAGACAAACTTTAGAACAATTCTCTATTAATCGTTCTCTAAGAAAGACTTTGAAAAGTGGTTCTCTATTAACTGCTCTCTAAATTAAGTCACACTTTAGAGAGTGAGTGATTATGTATTAACTACTCTCTAAAGTTATTCTAGGTGAGCAGTTACATATTAACTATTTTCTAAAGTCACTCTTAGGCAGCAGTAATGTGTCAACCACTCTCTTAAATTAAACTTTTAAAATGCTTTGCAACTTTTATCTAATAAATGAAGCACGCTAAATTCACACCTTATAATCTCTTTGTCTTCTTTATTTTCTCTACACTAACAAAGTTGATCTCTTTCACATCTGTAGGTATTGTTCTCACAGTTCTCTTCATTCTTTCTGTCAAGCATGTAATTTATTATTGAGTAATCTATAATATTTTGTACTTCTTAAATATTAATTGAAGGATTATTTGGTATTGAAATAGATTTAGATGGAGTTTGAAATTATTTTTATATATATATATAAAAAGTGAATAGTTGTGGTGTGAATAATAATTCCGGGGTGAGCAGTACTCTGGCATGAACAGTGAGGCTGTGTGAACAGTAACTCTGGCGTGAACAGTGTCTCAATTTTTTTTTTCTATAAATAGGACTCCTTGCACGAAATTTTCACTTCTTCACACTTCTCAAAGGTTCCAAGGTCATATACCACCATTTTCTCTTATACTAAACCTTCCTAAACTTAGATTTCTTGCCAAATCTAAGATTTTACGTCTATTCTGAAGGATTTGAAGTAAGATTCTGTAAATTTGAAGTTAGATTCACCGTTCATTTCTCTTCTTCTTCTCTTTCTCATAAAAGTTCATGGTATTCTTAGGAGAGACTTCATTCTAAAGCTAAATCTTCAGTGAATCTTGTGTTAAAACAAGTAATATTCAGTAGATCTAGTGTGAATCACAATATTCTAAGGTAAAAGGAGCTTACTTTATTTATTAAACGATGTTTAGGTGGGTAGACGTGTAACGATAGAGCATGTTAAGCTATGCTGTCTAGATCTAGATACTAGAATGGGTCGCTCCCAAATCGACTCGGTTCCATTTGAATTACTTAGGTTGTGAAACCAGTTGGAAACTAATTTCATATTGTGCATTAGATGAGCTAGGAATGCATGGGGCTATTACTGTGAGCAATATTTTGCTTTATATATATGATTTTATTTTATTTTTTGTAAGCTCACCCTTGCAATTCTGTCTATTTTGTTGTATGCGTGTGTACTGAGATGATCATACAGTGGTAGGTGATCAGATGTAGTAGGTGTTACATATACTTCACAGGCTAAGGGGCTAGTGGAAAAATGTTAGAAGGCAGAGTCAAGTAATTTTGCATTAAAGTCTTCTTCCTTATATTTTGAGACCTCATATAGAGGGAGTGATGTAGTAAAAAAAAAAATTATGTATTTTGAGTATTATGAATTAAACATAATATTATGTTGTTCTGTTGGATATTTGTCATAAGGAATTCTATTTATTTTGAATGAAAAGTGAATTTTATACTTATATTCTTCGTTATTTATTTATCTCAAATAAGTAAGTGGTGTAAAAAAAATGCTTTCGGTTCTTTACAAAAATGGGTCGTGACATTTTAGTGGTATTAGAGTGTGGTCTAGGTAAACCTACGTGGTGAGATTGTTAGGCGTCAATTGTACATATTAGGCATGTGAGTCTTAGCTATGAATCATATATCATAATTTCTAATAATCAGGTTGTGAGAGAACAAGCTTGATCACCTCGATTCTTAGACACAACAGATGTAGAAAATTTTGGTATATGATACTTGGGTGAGCTATAGGCGAGTCATACTGCTTGAATAATAGGCTGCCAAAAACTTGATGTGTAAAAATCGAATTACTAGGCAAGTGTACCCGTTATCAGAGTAATATTGTGAAAATTTAAGTACCAAGTGTCGTATCCACAAGGACTGTTATTAAGAAATTCTTCCTTAATTGTGTAATTGTTAATAGATATAAAAATTAAATTTTGTTAATGAAATTGCTAAAAGTAAAAGAATAATAAATTAAAAAGGAACAAATATTCTTATGAAAATAAATTATAGAAAATTATGGCTAAAGGTGTTCAAGGGATGGCAAGTATCTAGACTGTAAATCCTCCTAAATGTCCAAATAACTGAAATTCTTCTTCAACTACTTAGTTCCAAACCCTTATCGCTGCAGGAAATTCTAAATTAAATCAATACCTTTCTAAAGGATAATGATTCCTAACCCTCAGTTGATCAATCGAAATCTCTTCCTTAATTAATACTCCTAGGTTGCATTAAGTTCATTATGAATTCCATAATTAGGGTTAATCCTAATACAAAAAACTCACGTCTTTCTATCTCTAGAAATATATTCAAGTCTTTTTAATTGAGCAATGTTAAATTCATGCAAGAATTTTACTCAAATTCAAACAAGAAAACAAGATAGAAGAAAATTGATACTACTCAATTAAATCCAAGAGAAAGGAACATGAAATAGCATTAGAAGAATTCCAGAAAATTTAGTCAATTAGGATTCATTACGTCTAGAAACTCAAAGGAAAGTTAGAACCTAAACATCTTGAAACTAAGATTACAAAAGATATGAATTAGAACGCTTGATCTCATCCTCTTGCCGTCTCTGAGTCTTTCGTCTCCAAAAACAGCCTCCCTAGGTTTCTGTGCCAAGGTCAATTTTATATGAGTGGCCCAAGGGCTCATCTTCTCGTAGAAATTTAAATTCTGACGCACGTTAAAAGTACACGCCCAAGTACACAGCCATGTACT